ATCAACATGACCCCGTTGCGGTCGATACCTGCGACTGAAACCATAAAAATGTTTTCCAATTCCACTCCAGAGATCTATAACTTCCCCTCAGCAAACTAATTATTACCATTAAGAAAAGTATGAACAATAGAGACATTATAGGGGCTCAATTGCTAGATAACTTTCAATATACACGTTACTCGAGTTTTCCATGAACATCTAGCGCTGTATAACCTTGTAAACATTATCATATGCTGGCAGTGGGCTTCCTTTTTTCTATACACGATTATGTTGAGACTCACTTTTGCAGTTAAGTCTGCCACAAAGTGGGGTTTTAACAAAGTTCCGCATTCTTTAGCTTATCACGGAAGGTTCTAGAAGATTAAAGGACTATGAGCATATTCGTCATTCTGCGTTGAACTACCTTAGGAAGCGTTATTTCCGACAATGACAAAATTGAATAAAATTGAAAAAGGAAAACGAGTGACATTCATAAAAATTGAATGTGTACTCACTTGCTCCGCGGTTGTGCTGGTTTGCTTGGAACAGTGGGACCACTGTTGCCGCTCCCAGGCTGGCTCGTACTGCTAGCAGCCCGCTCTCTGGCAGATGAGGCATCTTGAAGAGGATTCGGAGTGACAGTGCTTCCAGCATTATTTCGAGCACTGTTGCCTCTTCCTCCTCGATATCCTCGACGACGTCCTCGTCCGCCTCTTTCTGCAGGTGTTGCCAATGTTGTATTCGATGAGGACGTCGCTATGTCGCCCATGGCGAACTAGTAAGATCTGGAATTCGAGAAAAGATTAGAAAAGAACTTCGCATCACAAATTGCTGGGAAATGTTTTAAAACAACATCACAAAGATGAAACATTGAAGAGCATTAGTTACAACATTTAATGCATAGCCTATTTATATATGAACACAAGTCACGCGACCCTCACTCCCAGTTATTTGCTTAAATTTCGCATGGTTGTGCAATCACACGCTTATTAAAGGACGCAAACCTTTAACGCATAAGGGGTCCCGCGAGAGCGATCTGCTACAGATCCATCGTTAACTCCTTTAAATTGAATCTTTAGCTCGCCTAAACTTCCAAACTTCGTTTGAATCATTAT